CCTTCTGTATTTGAAACAATGTTGCGATCCTGCTGGCTGAAGCCCAGGACTAAAGCAGGTTTCTGGGGTTTTGTTTAGCTTCTATATTTGTTACAATGTTGCTTAGAGCGCAGCTGAGAGGCCGGCAAGGCAGGCGGGGAAGCTTGGCTTCCTCCGTCACTGAAGCAAGCAAGCCTCCCTGTTTGCGTCAGCTGCCTGGCTGCCGGCCGCCATCTTGGTTGGCAGTTAATTTGCATATCTCACTGATTAGCCAATGGGAAGGGTAGCGGTTGTACACTAATTACCATGTTTCTCTTTTATTAGATAGGATTTTTTAATATATATTTTTATTGATTTCAGAGAGGAAGAAAGAGTGAGAGATAGAAACATCAATGATGAGAGAGAAGCATTGATTGGCATAACACCTCAGACTCAAATCCCTTTTAATAGTAAAGTAGAGCCTTAGCTGGTTTGGCTCAGTGGATAGAGTGTTGGCCTGTGGACTCAAGGGTCCTAGATGCAATTCTGGTCAAGGGCACATGCCCAGGTTGCAGGCTCAATCCCTAGTAGAAGGCATGCAGGAGGCAGCCAATCAATGATTCTCTCATCATTGATGTTTCTATCTCCCTCTCCCTTCCTCTCTGATATCAATAAAAAAATATTTTTAAGCCCTAACTGGTTTGGCTCAGTGGATAGAGCATCAGCCTGCGAACTGAAGGGTCCCAGGTTCAATTCCGGTCAAGGACATATACCTTGGTTGTGGGCACATCCCCAGTAGGGAGTGTGCAGGAGGCAGCTGAATTGGTGTTTTTCTCTCATCAATGTTTCTAACTCTCTATCCCTCTCCCTTCCTCTCTCTAAAAAATCAATAAAATATATTTTTTTAAAAATATTTTTAAAAAATAGAGCCTCAGCCTGAGGACTGAAGGGTCGTTGGCTTGATTCTGGCCAAGGACATGTGCCTCAGTTCCAGGCTCGATCCCTGGCTATCCCTGGTCCTGGTCAGGATATTTGCGTGAGGCAACCAGTTGATGTGTCTCTCTCGCATCGATGTTTCTCTCTTTCTGTTTCTTCCCCTCCCTTCCATTCTCTCTAAAAAGTCAATGAAAAAGATATTTCTTTTTAAAAATAGTAAAGTAAAATAAAAAGTTCCTACTTCCTAGGATAAAAATCTGGATAAATATATCTGATAATATGATTAAACATGTTTGGTGAATTGTAATTTTCATGTTTTTAGTTATTTTCAGAAATTATTAAAGAGTTAAATTTTTATTTTACTTTTTTAAGAGTTAAATTTTTAAATCAAAGAACACTGAGCCCTAGCTGGTTTGGCGTAGTGGATAGAGCATCAGCCTGCAGACTGAAGGGTCCCAGGTTCGATTCCAGTCAAGGGCATATGCCCGGGGTTGCAGGCTGGATCCTCAGCAGGGGGCATGCAGGAAGCAACCGATCAATGATTCTCTCTCATCATTGATGTTTCCATCTCCCTCTCACTCTCCCTTCCTCTCTAAAATCAATAAAAATATATTAAAAAAAAAAAGGAACAGAGACCAATGGAGCTAAAGTACTAGTAGAAATAAGGTATCAATGTGCTAAACATTAAAAACTGAATTTAGAAATATAGAATGATATGTACACTTTAAATAACACATTAGCCCATTCCTTTATTTCTATGCTTTCTGAGACATTTTTGAAGTACTCTGTTTCATAAAATGATTCCAGCATCTCCACCTAGACTGTAAGTTTAAGGATCTAAAAGCCTTTGGTAATACTCCTAGTAGCTTAACATAAGAAGAAAAGAGTCCTAGCCGGTTTGGCTCAGTGGACAGAGTGTCAGCCTGTGGACTGAAGGGTCCTGGGTTCAGTTCTAGTCAAGAGCACATGCCCGGGTTGCAGGCTCGATCCCCAGTAGGGGGTGTGCAGGAGGCAGCCAATCAATGATTCTCTCTCACCATTGGTGTTTCTCTCTCTCACTCTCCCTTCCTCTCTGAAATCAATAAAAATATATATTAAAAAATTTTTTTAATATAAGAAGAAAAGAGAAGCTCAAATAAAAGTAACTTTTCTAAGGTCAATGAGGAATCAGCTAGGACATTTTCACAATCTTAAGCACAGACTTACATGGATTTTATGTATAACCTCAAATTTCTTGACAGTCTTTTTCTCTTACCTGTTTTCTCCTTTTGTAAAGTACCTTTTGATGTCAACAAAATAGAAATTTTTACTTAAAAGGCAAGCTGAGTGTTGTATCCTGTATTTTTCAAAAACACATATGACAACCATCTTAAAGTAGTTTATACTAGTATATTCCAGCTTCATGTTCCACTCCATATCCTTCTGCTCCTTAATAGCCTTAAACTTAAGTCAACTAATAGTTCTAACAATGTCAGACAAATTTTACTAATAATAAGAAAAGTAAACTTAAGTCCAGAGATGATTATTACTGAATCAACAATACAACCAGATTTCTGAGTGTTATGCTAGAGCTTTTGATTTTACCTTCCCACAGGTATGTCTCAGCTTTCATTTGGCCTCAAAGTGAAAGCAGTTATTTGTATAATTCCCCTAGCGCCCCAGCAAGGGTAATGTAATCTTACTGTTGGAAATTTGTTAGAACCCTTTGCTTTGCTTTTACACTATAACCAACACAAAAAAATGGCATCCTAAGTGACATTTACTCCAAGGTCTGGTTCGGTGCCAAATGGAGTTAGCTCACCTGCCAATTATGTCTTGAAGTAACAACTATAAGGGACACTGAAATAAGGTAGTTTAAAAACCCAATCAGCCAGAGAGAAGGGTTTTATATCAGCAGGAAAGGCCAGGTAATCTCTTTCCTCAAAGTAAATTGACCTGGTTGCTATGTCTGCTAATCAATCCTAAATACACAGTTCCCAGGTAGGAAACCATTTCATTTGTCATTTACTGAAGGAGGCTCCCCCTGGCTGGGTTCCAAGTCAACAGGAACTCACAAATCTCTCTCCCGGAACTGTGTTTCCTGCTTCAGGCTGGTTCTGAATGGAATCAGATCCTGTGCCTAAGTAATCAGTAAACTAAGCAATCATGGAGACCAGAGGCTTATCAAGGCAAAGTTGTGATGACCTACTCTTAGCACTTTATTCTTTTCCAAATGAGCCAATATCTGATATGATCATAATCCAGGGAAAAGGGCATAATACTTCCTTGAAGAGGTACAGAAAGAGAAGAAATCAGTTACTTAGAAAAATTTCCAGAAGTTAGAACTTAATTTAAGGTGAGTTTGGGATAATTAGTTGGATTTAGATAAGTACAAAGATATAGAAGAGCATATTACATATTAGTCTGGGGAAGTGGAGAGGAAGTGTGAATGTTAAGTTTTTGAGACAATGGTAATCAGGCTGGAGCAAAAATGTTTGTAAGAAAAACAGAAGATAGGACATTAAGTTTCTAGTTATAAAGCCTGAAAGGGGAAATTTGGGATTTAGGACAAAGCATGGATAGACAAGTATATGAATGACCTATCCTAGAAGTACTTTTTGGTTATAATGGCTGAATGAACCACTCTAAAATCTACAAATGGTAAACACGGGGGTCAGGAACTTTTTGGAGGTTTCATTCTACATCTTTGTTAATTCACTCCTCTTCAATTCCAGAGAATAGGAGGACTGAGGCTATCCATACTCCCTCTATTTCTGGCCTGCTGTGGGATAACGTAACCAGACTAAGTTTGTAAATAGAGACACAGTTGAGCATGACCTAAGGCAGCGATTCTCAACCTGTGGGTCATGATCCCTTTGGCAGTCGAACGACCCTTTCACAGGGGTCGCCTAAGACCATCCTGCATATCAGATATTTACATTATGATTGTTAACAGTAGCAACATTACAGTTATGAAGTAGCAACGAAAATAATTTTATGGTTGGGTCACAACATGAGGAACTGTATTTAAAGGGCCAGAAGGTTGAGAACCACTGACCTAAGGGAACATGACAGGCAAGAAAACAGATGGCTGGGAGCAAGAATGGCATAGGTTCTCTTTATTCATGAATACTTCCTCTCATTTTTCAGAAATTCAAGCAAGTTTTACAAATAAGCAGAGCAGACAGTCCTCTGTCTCAAAATGTCAACATAGCTGCTTTCTTCCCATAATTCTACTTAATTTGTTCTTTAAGTCCTTTCTAACTTCAAAAAAGTCCCTTTATAAAATGCAAATGCTTCCCAAAAAGGAGTTATGGTTTAAATACCAATAAACACTAATACCAAATAATTAAAACAGCGTTGGTATTCTAGAAAGCATTAGAATATATTTCTCCCCCCAAAAAAGATTCTATGATCAAATACATGTGAGGAACAGCACAGTATATCTCCCTCTTGAAGATTCACAATGCACATTAACATTTTAAAGGCACTAGAAGTGCAGCAGTAAAATTTTTGTTAAAAGTATTTTCAAACTTATTTAACTACCAAACTGTATTTCCCCCACAGAGTACATATTAATAAATTTTAAGATATGAGTATCTTATCTTGTGCTCCCTGGACTCAGTCTTCAACTCCCGCAGATATGAGTATCTTTAAGACACAGTTTGAAAAATACAAAATTAAAAACAAATCAATGACTCATAATAGAGCACAAATTAGAATAGGATGCGTTAGGAAGGATGAAAGGAGGTAGGAAAACAAAGACAGATCTCTCCTTCTTTATTATTTTTTTCACAAATATCATGTCATTGATTGTATATCCCTAAAGTGAAAATGCATAATTGTTTGTCCCTTTCCAAACAGTATGAACTTCAGGCCCATATCTAGAGCATTATGAGTTCTCTGTCCCACTCATTCCCACACTGTCACCAAAAGCAGCAGAACAAAGCAGAAAGCTAACTCTATCATGGGATTTTAACGTCTCTCCCACTATGTAAAGTAGTTAGGAGTCAGGAATTAAAGGCACTAGAAGTGCAGTAGTTGAATGGTTCACCTAGTGCATTGATGAATGGTTGACCATCTTTATAAATAATCATTTTTGTGCTACTGATATCAAATTAACTTACCAGCTCTGCAATTCAGCAAAAGCTTGTTTCATTTTCTTAATGGAAGCATCCATCTCTTCTTTAACTACAACTCGATATCGTGCAAGAGACACTGTGCAGCGCTGGAGGTCTTTCACAGATTTTTCAATATTGGAACCTTGAGGAAAAAGCCCCAAAGATTAATCTTTAAAAGTATAGATAACTTGAAAGATGGATCTGAACACCTAAACATGTAAAGTAACAAATGTGTGGACTAGGAAAGTTTCCCAAAGGCTACCCTCTTCAACAAAAAAACTGATGTTTTCACAGATTTTAAAAAAATAAGCCCTAGCTGGTTTGGCTCAGTGGATAGAGCATCGGCCTGTGGACTAAAGGGTCCCGTGTTCGATTCCGGTCCAGGGCACATGCCCAGGCTGTGGGCTTGGTCCCCAATAGGGGACATGCAGGAGGCAGCCAATCAATGACTTTCTCTCATCATTGATGTTTCTCTCTCCCCCTCTCCCTTCCTCTCTGAAACCAATGAAAGTATAAACATAAATAAATAAATAAATAAAATAAATAAGTATCCTGACCAAGAAGAAGTAATAGGAATTTAAATTTACCCTCCTATCTTACACAAAACACACACACACACACACACACACACACACACACACACACACACAATCTGAATCAATGATTTTCAGACAGTGGACAATAGGCAGTACTTTTTCCTTGAGAAAATAGAAATAAAAGAAGTGAGGTCTATGGCCCAAGAAAGTTTTCAGGCTGTAATGCAAGGAGCAGAAATCCTAAACTGAGCCTGGAAGTCTCCCTGACTTGTGGGGACAGTGTTGAGAATTCAGGGAGGTCAAGCTTAGAGTTCTCAGGGCAGAGTACTGGAGAGGAGAGAGCTACACAAAGATGAGAGAGTTGTACAGAGGTCTACAGAGGATTCTGAATGCATGAGTGTGAGGCAACTACCCAAGACAGGAAAAAGAACTGCTGGAAGGGAGCAAGTGGAACAATCCCCAGAGCGCACCCGGGCCATGAATAGTTCATTTTCATACCAGCCAGAGTGAGGCACAAGGTACAGCACTTGGAAGTGCTTAGTAATGATGCAAACTTAGCTCTAGAATAAAGGCTGCTCCAGTACAACCTAACAAAGCTTAAAAGCAAGTCTCAAACTGTTTCCAAAGAATAGTCCTAGAACAAATTACAAGAAAAATTTTAAAAATACAAAAATATCCAGCAATCAACAAAGCAAAATTCACAACGTCTGGCATCCAAAAAAAAAATTACTAGCCCAGGTGGTGTGACTCAGTGGTTGAGCATCAACCTGTGAACCAGGTCACAGCACATGCCCGGTTGATGGCTCGATTCCCAGTAGGGAGTGTGCAGGAAGCAGGCGATCAATGATTCCTTCTTTCTCTCCCTCTCCCTTCCACCCTGAAATCAATAAAAATATATATATTTTTAAAATTACTAGAAAGCCCAAGCCAGGTGGCTCAGTTGGTTGGAGCCTTGTCCCATACACCAAAATACGTTGCGGCTTCAAACCCCAGTTGAGATGTGTACATTGGAGGCAACCAATTGATGTTTCTTTCTCATATATATGTTTCTCTCTGAAATCAATAAAAGCACATTTTTAAAAATAAGATAAAATAATTTATGTACTCAGCACAATTTTAACCAGTTTCTAAAGTTCTATTAACCTTTCTATACTCACCAATGTCAAAGTTATATATACAATTGATAGTTGGCATCACAGATCTTAGAAGTTTATAATGTGCCCAGATATAGATTTTTAATTTTTTAATTTAAATTCTTCCTCATATCAATTTGGTTTCTTTTAAAATCTACCTAAAAGCTTTCAAGCCTTGTGCCTTTATTTTGTTTGACTGAATATTCTCAGACTTGCTTTTCTGCACCAAGCTGACGGTTATGTTAGAAAGATGAAAAAGGAGAACTTCACTGATTAAATTTAGCTCATGTGGAATAAATAACTCAGTAAAGAGCTACAGGTTACAAGTGTCTTTCACATTTGTTTCATTTGTTTAGTGGAGTGGACCACCACGTTTATATGTATGATACTCAAAAAGGCTATTATCTCCATCTGTTTAATTAACTGATCATTTAAATGACTATTATAGTTAAATTTAAAAAAGCAAAAAGCTACCACAAGTCAATGCTAAGTATTTAAGAGAAAATGACCTTGTTTAAAACTAGAGTCTGGCAGGTTTTAATAAGAGTATGAAGTTGTGAAGAGAAACGAAAACATTTCTTTCAAATATGTCAGAGCTTTTTACTGTTGAGTCAACCAGGAGATAAAAATGAAGAAAATAAGATAAAAATGTGCAGTAAACCAAGTAAAAGAAACAGATTAATGGTAGCATAAAAGTCATCCTTGCAGTAGAGTTTGATTTTCATTCACACACAAAAAATCCCCACTATTGTAACAAGACTGTATAGCATTTGAGTTACTATTAGACTCTGTGTACACAGAATCCAGTAAGAACTGGATAGTCACTGCCTGGGAAACAGTATAAGGATTACCTACAGAACCTTCTCAGACCTTATCTATGGGAAGAAAGAGGTAACTTGCCCTCCTTAGCCAAAAACACAGATTTTTTTTCTCTCTAAAAGGTAGGCTAAGCCCCTATTTACCTAGCTTTTTGTTGGTGGAGGAGAGTGGAACATCTTCCATGCCCAAATTTGAAAACTGAGGTCTTGAGAGAGATTTGCTAGCATTCCTATTTTGTTGGGAATTCTGAGTAGGGTGCGTAGTCAAAGACTTGGACTCAAAATCAAAGACACCATTTTCCAGCATGGATCCTGTCAGAAACAGAGTGCTTTAGGCAAGACTTAAGGATAAATCAATCAAGCAGTCCTAAGTGCACACAAAGAAAAAGAGAGAAATATTTTAGGCAAAACTATGTTTCTTTTCATCTCTCCCCCCAAAAAATGATGTTTCTTAAATGGCTGTGAACAAAATCGATTAAGCCCCATCAGCTGAATGAGGCCCTCTCGCTTTGCTCTAGGCAGCGTCCTGAATGAAGAAGAAAAGTCTGTGCTAACCCATCTCCAGATAGACTAGCTTGTTCCTTGTACCTGTAGCTTCCTTGTAACTTCTGATAGGTTCTATAAATTATGTTGAGGGAAAAAGAGCTTTATACTGTCCTAGGGCATGAAGAGTTTAAAATCTTTAAGGAACAGAAAGAGCAGAGTTAGAAAACGAGAGAGCTCGCTCCAAAAAAATAAAAAAAGAAGCCACTGACTATCTTTGGTTTGTTTGAGGTCACTTTAGGCCTCAACAATTATATTTTTCTTTGTCTTTCTGTGCTTGTGCAAATCAATAAAAGAACATAAGAAAACAGCATAATTCTTAAACTGTCATTACACTTATAAAGCCAGTGCAACTGAGCAAGGAGAACTGGATTAACAAACAAGTAATTAAAAAAACTATTTTAAGAGATATTCCCAATATCTTCCCAACACTCATCAAAATGGTTAATAAAACAAAGGAAAACATACAAAATATGTAAATTTACAACTAACACTAATCTTAACTCTGTACTAGAAAACAAATGTAAGACTATAAAAACCAATAGTATACTTCATGGATTTACAGTTATTATCATATTTTTCCACTGTGTTGGATCTTAGAATAATATCAACATCAATTCATTATAATAATTTTCCTTAATAAGTGTACAATTTAAAAAATCTTAAGGGCATCTTCTGTAGTCGACTGCTTTAAACTGAAATTAAAATATGAGACAATGGAAAATAATTATATTTTTCTAGGCCATAGATAATTACAAAATGTGACTCTTTCACATGAGCGGTAACAAAAACTAAAAAGAGACTAACTAGATTTAATTTGATTGCTTTCTCAACCAGGAAGCCCCTGGCTGAGAATGCAACTTTTCAAAGATCTGTTAATAAACTCACCTGTTCTGTCCAGCACATCTGGCATGGAAGACTCAGGATCCTCCAATTCTCTGGCATCTATTGAAAGTGTCTCCACACCTTCACTGAGTGAGTCCACAGACTCAGTATCATTGATGGCACCATTAACATGGTAACCATTAATATCACCTTTTTCTGGAGAAGGCGTGGACTGCTCCTCTTGAATAGAAACCAATTTACTGGAATCTAGGATACTGTTACTTGCTTCGATTGCAGGTTTTGGTTTGCTTTTCTTCTTTTTGTTCTAATGATTATTAAAGGTTTGAAAAAAGAAAAGGAAGAGAAGACCCCCCCAACACAGAGAGGTAACTCTAGCTACCCAAAGGCAACCAATGTTACCAATTTCTCATATGCTCTTCCAGAAACTGAACACATTTCTGTATGTGTGAAATTACTAACTAAAATAACTATGTAAAATACTTTGAATAAACTCAAATGCATAAATATAAGAAATTTATGCATAGTAAAATACACCAAAAGCAAAATCAAAAGATAAATTACATAATGTGAAAAAATATGTACAACGTATATACAAAGAGCCAAATATATTTTGAGCTCTAACAAAAACAAAACAACAATAGTAAAAAATGGTAAAGGATATAAGTATATGAAATGATACGCAACCTCAGTAATAAGAGACATAAATTAAAACTGCGCTGCAGAGGATTCTAAGAAGATGGCAGAGGAGGAAGCATCAGGAATCTGTTGCCCCACCTAGCCTGCCTTAAACAGGCTCAGAACACTTACATTAGCCTACAGTTGGGCAAAATCATCTAATAGTGAATACAATGTAGAGTATCTATTGGTTGTTTACACTCATTATCAGGTGGCTGACTGGGAGCTGCAGCTGTCCAGCATCATGAGCAAGTGTCACACTACATATTGCTAGCCTGGGAAAAGATAAAAATTCAAAGTATGGTTTCTACTGAATGCTACTGCTTTCCCACCATCGCCAAGTCAAAAGTTCATAAGTCAAACCATTCTAAGTTGGGGTCCATCTGTACAATATACTGTCCTCGGCATGAAGAGTTTTGATAGGATGCAGTGAAAGCAGTATTAAGAGAAAATTTATAGTTATAAATGCTTACATTAAAAACAAGAGCCCTAACTGGTTTGGCTCAGTGGATAGAGCCACAGCCCTCGGACAGAAGGATCCTGGGTTAGATCTGGGTTAAGGGCATGTACTTTGCCCCGGCCCAGTAGGGGGCGCGCTCAGGAGGCAACCAATCAATGTGTCTCTGTCAATGTGTCACATGGAGATGTTTCTCTTTGTCTCTCCCCCTCCCTTCCACTCTCCCTAAAAATGGAAAATATCCTTGGGTGAGGATTAACAAAAAATAAAAATAAGTACACATATCATGGAAAAATACCCTCAGGTGAGGATTAACAAAATAAAGTAAAAAAAACCAAACTGCAGGCAGAGAGAATATATATATTCATGTTTGCTCACACATGCATAAAATATCCTGGAAGATAAACAAGAAATTGATAATACTGTTTATTTCTGGGGAACAGGGACAGGATAAAGACGTTTCAGTGTATGTATTAATTTCTGTAGCTTTGAATTTGGAGCCACATGAATATATTACCTAGGCAAATAGTCAAATTAAAACAAACAAAAAAGTTCTTTACCTTTTATTTTAACAAAGCACAGCTCTACTAGCAATACTTAATTCTATTCCTAAGGCTGTACTGACATGATGGAATCAGTTTTCCCCCAAACCCTTCTCATGGCCCTAACAGGAACACTACTGGAACTCTAGATATAACTTTCTCCTCACATCTCTCATCTTTTTTTTCTTAAATATTTTCTCTCATGTGAACTGGGTAAGTTTTCATATCATTGTCCCATGTATATAATAGCTGTCCCAGTACCGGCTCATAGTAATATCCTATTGAACTAATCTCAACAGTTAACTGGACTGAACTTGGGCATTTGGGACTGCCAAACTGAAGCCAATTTTCTTTCTCTAAATTTTAAGAAATTTATGTCTCTAACACATACTTTTCCAGCTGCAAGCATATGTACATCACTAAATAACTTACTATTCTGGATCAGTAAATTAATAAACTGATGTTTCCAGAGCACACAGAGCTATTTATGTTAGATGAAAGCAACGAGAAGAAGTTAAGCAAATATTCAAAGCTCTAGGTAGGGAGAGCTATAGAGGGAACTGTAGTAACATTAGGTTCTCCTTGGAAAAAACTCTCAAGGGTCACTCTCAAGCCTGGTTTGGTCAAGACTTAATAGATCTCTTATGAAGTGATTTAGAGTCATCAAGAAAGCATTTCAAAACTCTAGTACTAACCTGATATAGGAAAATAATTTTCCAAAGGGCTTTCATAGAGATACCTGATTAAAATTCATACTTCAAGCATTTCCTAAAGAAGCTAGATTTAGAGTACAGGGCTGTGGAAAGCATTTTGAGACCAGCTAGTATCCTTTGGGGTAAGCATTTTGGTTTCAAGTGGACAAGAAGAAGGAAATGAGAATCAGTATGTTAGAAATTAGGTACTAGTATTCATTATTATAACTTTCCTATTTCAGAGATGAGCAAACTAAGGCACACAAGGTTAAACAATACTCCCATGTTGCAAAGCCCATAAATAGAACAGTATATAAATCCTGTTCTGATTGACTCCACAGCCCAAGTGCCTTTCCCTCTCTAAACTGGAACACCAGGCCCCTCTATATAACTAATAATAGCAAAGACCCTCTTTGGGCTTAAAGTCAAAGGTCATTAATACCAGAGATTACAACACAGTTGTCTGACCTAAGAACCTAAACTATTTTAACTGATCTATGTTAAGAAAAATGTTGAAACCACTGGACTAGATCACTTTCTCTAGTGGAGCTCTGCTTTCCTTGACATACTCTCTCTCTTGTTTCATTCCTGCCTAGTATTAATACACCTTCAGCAACTCCACCATGGCGGGGTCATTGTTTCCTGTCTTAAATCACATGGAGGAGATTGTATGGTACTCTATGTACACAGCTGTGTTTCAATGTCACAGAAGACTTTTTTAAACCAGGTGAACTGAAGATGCATATGTAAATCTTTTCTTTCAAATATTTTTGCAGCCTAAATTTTTATAATATCAACATCATGCTTTTAAATTTCATTCATTTTTACCTTTTTCTTGCCTGTTACTGTCCATTCTTTGAGTACTTCATTGGCACTACCTGTAAGAGAAACCAGTCACAGATTTTCTCTGCTACCACATGCATGGTCAAGAAGGAATAGGTGTCTCTGCTTTTTGTAAATGCTAGAGAATTTCTAAAGTTCGTAACAGGAAAGTTAAGGTTCAAGTCTCTGAGCTAATATAATAAGATAATCACATCATGCTTATCTTTTGCAATACCTGCCCATTTAGATTCCCCTTCTCCATGTAATTTTCTCAGTAAGTTCTTCCAAGAAGAGACTAATGTAGCCTGACCATTTTGAAATTCTTTTATATAACTTAGATCAAATACAAAGATGAGTGGTTTCAGCCCACGTATGCTATCCCCTCTCCTCCAGAAGATTATACACCACTTTGGCTATGTTGTTTTAGAGAGCTGTACACTACCCTAGACCCAAATGCTGACATTACCAAGAAAACAGATGACAATGAAAAAAAACCGTATAGTATTTGGACCTGTTTATTCTATACTGGCAGAAAAACAGAAACAGGGAGACTTAATCTGATGTACCTATTCAATGATGAGATATCTTTTTTAAATGGCATGATATGTTATATTATCATGAGGTCTACTATATCATCTATGAAATACCAGGTTTTTAAATGAATGTTATAGAAGTTTGAAGCAACTTCTATTTGAAAAAACACAAACTTATTAAAAAACTAAACTAGGATTACCTTCCATAAATGCTTGTACTGTTTTGTCCACACAATTATCAAAGTGCTGCAAAACCAGGATGATTTCATTGTTGCTCTTATTGGGAACTATTGCACGCACTGCATTTATCTGGAAAAGATGACAGGGTCATTAAATTTTAACATCAGTAGGTCAGTTGGCAACTGAGACCTGTTACACAGTGACATTTCATTCTTAACAATATGTATCACTCTTTAGTGTCAGTGAGAGTACATACAACCTCTCACTAGGAATGATTAATAGATGAGTGGTAACATCACATAAAAATTAATTTCAAAACTTAGAAAAGCAGAACATTTCTAGAAATAGAAAGTATATGCTAGATTTTGCTCAAAGAAAGGGAGGTCTAATTTAGATATCAAGTATTAAATTTAGCATCAACCTTTCCTCATTTTTAGCATACTGTAGAGAAAGGTGGAAAGTTTATGAACCACCACCAATAAGAACTTCGATTTTTATACAGCATTTTTGAAACATTTTATTTCGTATCATTTAACTGTATAACACTATAAAGATAACAATTCCTAACCAAGGACAAACCTTCAGCTTTATGGCCCTGTGTGGTAAAACCCATTTGTTATGAAGAATGGCAAAACACATTCCCTCTATACACTTAGCCTCTAGGGATTTTCCTAACTTCTGTTCAGCTATACATTTAAAATTATGTATGTTTTTTTTATTCTATATTTCTTGGTATTTTATATTATGAATGCTTTCAAGTTATCTAGTCAGCAATACTGCTTGAAAAGGAACTCCTTTTATAGATGAGAAGAGGTATCTTGTCCAAGTAATAAGCAGAGTCTGTATTAGAACCTAAGTCTTTTTTTAGTACACTTGCTTTCATATCATTCTATACTTTTATTATTTCAGGCTTAATTAATGATAAGGTTTAAAACCATATAAGTGGAAAGGTATATAATCTATAATCCAAAGAGGGATAATTTATAATTATACGTTTTTGAGATGAACAAAATACTTAGCACTAATCACTAGAAAATGGACTTTACGCAAAATTTACAAATTCAGCAATAAAGGTAAGATTCTGGTAACTTAAAATGTGGAAGTGTTTATATTATTAATGTACTATATTTTTTGCCAATCTGAAAAAAATAAAATTGGTATAATTTTAATTAATTCACACTAGACAACTATTGTTATGTTGACTGTTATCATCTTTTTACTTGATAATCTAAGGAAAAAGAGGTCAGTGTCCCTAACTAAATAGTCAGGTACTGCATGTTTTAAAAATTCTTGCAGCACACTGGTTGAAAATCACTAATCTGCCCAGCCAGTGGCTCAGATTTTTAGATCAAGAGCATGTGCCCGGGTTGTGGCCTTTGCAGGAGACAGCCGATCACTGATTCTCTATCATGGATGTCTGTCTGTCTCTCTCTCTCTCTCTCTCTCTCTCTCTCTCTCTCTCTCTCTCTCCTCCTTCCTGAAATCATTAAAAATATTTTTTTTAAAAGAAAATTGCTCATATACATACAGTAACTAATCATACCTTCTCTTTCATGTTTTCAAAAGTTCCTCCCTGGGCCAGTACAGTATTGGACTGCAAATCGAAAATGAATCCTGATGAATCTGAAAGAATGAGAAGGAAAAATATATTCAACAATATCTAAAACTGACATGTGATCATCTTCCAAATAGAAGGGCTTTAAACAGTTAACAACTTATGTACTTTGCAAACTCTATTATATAAATAACTGATAACTACATTTGAATTAAAATTATAGAAATAAAGTTTTATTTTAATAGAAACTGTAACAACTTAAGAAAAACACTAAATACAGCAACTATATTAAACTGTCCAGTAATCCTTGATATCTTAATTGAAAAGGCCCTCTATAAATGTTGCAAGTCAATGGCTCCCCAAAGTAAAATTTACCACTAACAAATCTGAAAATGTGAGTGAGGATGAGAGCTCCTGTGGCATTAACAATAACAACACAGGAAAGTAATTTCAGTTTTCTAGAGTGCACCACACACATCATGTTTTTAGACTATTAACTCCATGAATACATTCGTCAACCTAATGCTTGACAATCAATGTGCTGGAGTTGACATCACCAGCACAACTCGGGAAAACTTAAGTTTAATGTGGTTTATTACAGAAAAGAGTTTGGCTTCCCAGCACTTATAAAGAAAAGGCTATCTGCAAATTTAATCCATTTCTTTACCTGAGACCATGTCATCAATAAATTACCTCCACTTTAAACACTTAACAACTTTGTTTTAATCTAATGAGATGCAATCCAGGAAATGGTTACACTGTTTCTCAGATTATGATGTATATACTTATCTGGGCATTTCAGCTTAAAATGTAGGTTCTGATTTAGTAGTCTAGCCTGTGGCCTGAGATTTTTACTCCCTGGTGGTATCAACATTGCTGATCCATGCACCATACTTGGGAGTAGTTTGGGGTTTAGAATTTCAACAAAGCAAGGAAAAGGGAAAGTTTTTTAAAAAGGGGGTTGCTATGGTCTAAATGTTTGTGCGCCCTCTCCCCCCCATTCATATGTCAAAATTCTAAAGTGATGGTATTAGTGATTGGGGCCTCTGGAAGGTAAATAAATCCTGAGTGGAGCCCTCATGAATAGGATTAGTGCTCTTATAAAACTGACCGCACAGAACTCCCTAGCCCCTGCCACCATGTTAAGACGCAAGAAGTCTGCCAGCAAGAACAGGGCCTTCACCCAACCATTTGACACTCAGGTCTCAGACATCCAGCCTTTAGAACTGTGAGAAATTAATTTATGTTGTTTATAAGCCATCCATTTTGTTATAGTAATCTGAAAGGACAGGGGTTTAAAAAAATACAGCAATATTCCAGTACATTTTCCAAATTCTTTTTCTATTATAACAGATGTATTTCAACTAAAGCCTCTTTTACAGCTCAGTCTTTATCCTGTGTTTTCAAATACCTCCTAGTTGCTATGGAAGATTGATAAGTTAAAATGACAACGCATTTTGGTACTAAAAGTGGAAAAGAGGATATGAATACAATGTATGTCATTCCAAGAGAAACTATGCTTGCCAATTACCAATGAACCGTGCATTCATTTACATTTAACCTCTCTGTAATACTGGCAGTTTTGAGACTGTTAACAAATAAAAAATCAGACTGCACTTACACAAACTCAGTACTTAAACCTGAGTTTTCCAGATGACTACATAATATGATTAATTCCCAATTATCTATAATAATAAAAGTATAATATGCTAATTAGACCAGACAGCCGAACGACCTTCTGGATGTCATTCCGGACAAAGCTGTGGCAGCAGGGGCCAAGGCAGAGGTGATTAGGGGTGATCAGGCAGGCAGGCAAGCAGTTAGGGGAGATCCGGTAGGCAGGCAGAGAGGTTAGGGGCAATCAGGCAAGCAGGCGAGCAGTTGGGGTGATCAGGCAGACAGAGTGGTTAGGGGCAATCAGGCAGGCAGAGTGGTTAGGGGCGATCAGGCAGGCAGGCGAGTGGTTAGGGGCGATCAGGTAGGCAGGCAGAAGTGGTTAGGGGTGATCAGGCAGGCAGGTGAGCAGTTAGGGACAATCAGGCAGGCAGGTGAGTGGTTAGGGGCGATGAGGCAGGCAGGCAGAGGGGTTAGGGGTGATCAGAAAGGCAGGCAGAGTGGTTAGGTGCAATGAGGCAGGCAAGCATAGTGGTTAGGGGCAATCAGGCAGGAAGGCAGGCAAGCGGTTAGGAGCCAGTGGTCCCGAATTGCGAGAGGGTGCAGGCCAGGCTGAAGGACTCCCCAGCCCCCACGTGCAAGAATTTCGTGCACTGGGCCTCTAGTCTTTAATAATTGAAGAGACACAGTACATACGATGAAAATCCTATATAGCCAAAATACTATCTAACAATCTTTTCAGAATTGCTGTAGGTTAGCCAAATGAGATATTAATAAGCAGTGAGATGATACCTAGGAATTCAATTATCTTATTAGAGAATCAAACCACCAATCTTTTTTAGGGAAAAGAGGAGACACAAAGTAAAGCAACATTTCAGTGTCTATCTTAAAATGAACTATTAGTATTACTAGCTTCTTATACATCATCTAACACTTTATTTCTTTTCTTTAGATGAAATAAAGTGCAAGGAAAACAAGAGTAGTTCTGCAAACACTTTCAGTTATTATCCCCTCAAAATTAGCACAGTATTATTAGAGTTTATCTGGCATACCAATTAGGATAATGATTAAAAATACATAGGGCCGCTATTTCCGTCAGGATCACAGCAGGAAACATATGGCACACTCAAATCAGGAAAACTGAGAAGAGTTTTAAGAAAAGACTATTTTATAAGGTGGTATTAGGTAGTAGGGAAACCACAAGATGCAGTGCAGTTACCCCTTGGCTAATAGCAGCAATGTGAATTGCTACCCTGAGGTTTTGAAGAGGCATAAGGAGACAGCAATTACTGGAACCCAGAGACAGAGGGCTTTTTCATCTTCGTTTCATCTGTTGTGGTAGGGCAATAGGACAGTAGCTATAACAGTGGTTCTTAACCTTCCTAATGCCGTGACCCTTCAATACAGTTCCTCATGTTGTGGTGACCCCCAACTATAAAATTATTTTTGTTGCTACTTCATAACTGTAATTTTGCTACTGTTATGAATCGTAATGTAAATATCTGATATACAGGATATATTTTCATTGTTACAAATTGAACATAATTAAAGCATAGTGATTAATCACAAAAACAATATGTAATTATACATGTTTTCCGATGGTCTTAGGCAACCCCTGTGAAAGGGTCGTTTGACCCCCAAAGGGGTCGCGACCCACAGGTTGAGAACCGCTGAGCTATAACATAACCTTTGGTCAAAGGTCACAGTAAGCCCAGTGACCCCTCAGGGAAAGACTGGGGAAATAAATATCCCTACCTCACTCTCCTCCTTGCCTCAATGCTACCCAATGGCTAAACCCAACCGGAAGCCCAAGGGCAAGAGAACCCTTAAGGGAGTATTTATCTTTTCAATAATGAGTTCACCCAAAAGGGAAAACAATAGTTTAACATCTTAACTTGTCTATTCACCAGCTATATTGCCTCTTAAACCAACAAATCAAGTACATTCATATCTTGTATCAAAGAACTAGAGCTTAAGTGCCTTTCAGCATTACAGAGAAAGTTATTTTTAATTCCAATCAACAATATTTAATGATTTAACAATTCTCTTATTTTTACATGCAAAGAAAGCCCAAGATTTATTTAACTTCATTGGTAGAAAAAAAGGAAGGATCTCATCCTGTGACTGAAGAGCATGCATACTCTATCAGAAATGAATTCTTACAGCAAAACAAAATGCAGTTGAATACTATTATCAGGCAAGATTCATAAAGGATACGAGGAACACTTGAGATTGAGTTTTCTTTTTATCATTTATTTCCCTCTATTAGGAACATTTTGGAAAAAGTATGTTCTTTACAGTATCACTGACATATTTGTAAATACTACAGGCTTTGTTATTATTGTTTTTGCTGGATTAAAAAATAAGGCAGCCAAAACCGGTTTGGCTCAGTGGATAGAGCGTCGGCCTGCGGACTGAGAGGTCCCAGGTTCGATTCCGGTCAAGGGCATGTACCTGGGTTGCGGGCATATCCCCAGTAGGAGATGTGCAGGAGGCAGCTGATCGATGTTTCTCTCTCATCGATGTTTCTAACTCTCTATCTCTCTCCCTTCCTCTCTGTAAAAAATCAATAAAATATATTAAAAAAAATAATAATAAGGCAAAAGTTATTTTAGGCATTGAGAATGACATAGAAATGTCTGAGTCTGATTATACCATATAGCAAACTAACCACGAACAGGTTTCTTAATTTAAGTATAATTAACATTTATATAATACTAGAGGCCCAATACCTAAAATTCATGCATGGGTAGGGTCCCTAGGCCTGGCCAATGATCAGAGCCCATCTGTGGGGTGACTGGCAGGGCATTTGGGCCCCGCCCCCCCACCCCTGCTAGCACCCGCCTTGGCTGGCCTGGGGCCTGCAGACTGGGGGCAGTTCCTGCTTTGAGTGTCTGCCCCCTGGTGGTCAGTGTGCATCATGGCGACTGGTTGTTCCACCTGTTGTTCCCCAGTTTGGCCTATCTGCATATTAGGCTTTTATTATATAGGATTAGTTTCAGGAACACAACATAATGATTTGATATTTGTATATACTGTAAAATGATCACCACAATAAGTCTAGTTAACATCATTTACCATACATGGTTACAAAACTCTTTTAGCAACTTTCCAATATGAAATACAGAATAATTAACTACAGTCACCATGCTGTGTATTACAGCTCAGGACTTATTTTATAACTGGAAGTTTGTACCTTTTGACCCTCTTTATCCATTTCATACACCCCCTATGACCCACCCCTGTCTCTGGTAACCAGCAATCTATATTCTCTGTTATCTATGAGCTAGATTTATTTTTGTATTGATTTTCTTTTTTAGATTCCACATTTGATATTTGTCTTTCTGATTTATTTCACTTAGCATAATGCCCTCAAGGTCCATCCATGTTGTCACAAATAGCAAGATTTCCTTTTTTCATGACTGAATGATAATAATCATATACATAGCACATT